CAGACAACACCCTAAAGAGAGATTTGAACTCTTCCCTCTCCATCCTCCTCTCTTTCGCTCTTTCCTTCCTGTGAAGAAAGTCGGTCACTTGCGCACATTTTCCTGAAAGATGCTTCTCTTGACCTCCCTCAACTTTTTCACTCTGTAGTACTTTCCAAACTGTTGTATGTACACATTATTATTTTGTTTTTTAGAGTATATATTATGACTACCACAAATTAATTGTGTTAATGTTTGTGATCTCATCACTGAAACATTAAACAGACAGTTCCATTGCATAAGAGCTTTAGGCCAGCTGGGTAGAAGCCATGCTGAAAAGGGGGGTTATTGCTACATTATGGACCCTGTGGGGAGGTGAGGGGGGGGGTGAGGTTACCTCCTACAACATGGCATGCTTCTTAAGCCATCAGGCATGGGGAGGGACACCTAATTGAACATGATAAAGTGTAAAGTTAATTACCCCTCACGCCTGTCAATGATACCCCCATGGGGGGGGGGGGGACATGGCCTCAGGCACAGCTGTTGGTGCATGTGTGTGTGTGCGTGCATGTGTGTTTGTGTGTGTGTGCGTGTGTGTGTATGAGTGAGAGCGAGAGTAGGGGTGACAGGACAAAAGGCAAAGGCTCCCACGAGAGTTGTGCAGTGGATGATGGCAACAATCGGCTTTTAAAGATACCTCTGTCCCTCTGGTGCACAACTACTTAACACGCCTGTCCCACCATGAGTCTCACACACACAGAAAAGTACACAGCTGACCTTTCAGATGCAGTTGGTAGTGTTGAAACAGTCAAACAGTTGATATATTGTGTTCTTTTGTGTTTCCACTAACTAACACTGCTCACTGACTATGATTAGTAGAAACCTTTTCAAAGATTTGTACATTTTAACTCACTATTCCACTTTATACAAAGATGCGTGTGTGTTGCAGGTCTGGGTTACTCTGGGCTACTCTGGATCAATATGTCAAATGTGTATACTATCAAGTACGTGTTCACCTCAGCTAAGCTCAACTCTTTTAACAAGTGTTGTGTGTGTGTGTTTAGGTGTTGGGGCTGCCAGCTTGGCCAAACTGACCTTCATGGTGGGTGGAGTGGAGGAAGAATACAACGCTGCACAGGAGCTGCTGACCTGCATGGGAGCCAATGTTGTCTATTGTGGACAGGTCGGCACCGGGCAGGTAAAGACTCACACATGCTAACACACACATGCATCTTCATTTCAAACAGTCTCTGCTAACGTATTCCTTATTTACAACAAAATTAGCCGTCTTTTTATGCAGTAAAACCCACTAAGAAAAGCGATTTACTCCTTTCCCATTGCCAGTGGAGGAGTCTGTCTCTCTTACTTTTCCATGATGCATCATGTTCAATGAAGGCAGCGAAACCTGAGAAGCTCTCTCACCTTTGAGTCTTGCCAAAGAGTCATTTGACTTGGGAGTGAAGGCCGATTGTATCCATTGCCACAGCAGACAAAAGCCAGATGTTAGTGGGTGTTAGTGGGTATTTTAACCGGTGGCAAAGGGGTTATACACAATATTTAGCTAATTTCAGTCCAGTCAAGTCAGTTTTTTTTATATAACACATTAAAATCAACAGGAGTTGAGCAAAAGTGCTTTGCAGTCATGGCAAAAAAAGCAACACAAGGATGGATAAAAAGATAAAAAGCACAATGAAACTAAATCCCAGGCACTTAAACCAAAGAAAATGTATAATTATTTTTCTTTATTCATTCAAACATACACACAAACATAATGTGTTATATTGTATCCATAAAAGTGTATGTATTTAATAATCATTCTTACAGAATAATACATCTGAAAAAACGTTTCAAAAAAGTATAAATAGCGTAAAAGATTAAGAAGAATTTACACATTTAAATCACACAAAGACAAAGTATTTAATCCTCAGGGAGACTGCCTGTTTATACAGTTAATCAGGATGTTGATAAGGTGAGTGCACACAGACATCTTTGACTGCTGGTTAAAATATTATTTGCACATGTTTATATGTATATCTTTTCTTTTACACTAAGAATACTATTTGTGCAGTGCATCATGAATATTACGCTATAAACCTAAATATTTTACTTCTTTGACCCTCACCAGGCAGCAAAGATCTGCAACAACATGCTGCTGGCCATCGGGATGATTGGGACTGCAGAAACCATGAACCTTGGCATCAGGTATTGTCCGTCAGTGTTGTGCTATGCTGCTTCCAGCCTGCTATGCTGAAGGTAAAAAAAAAAAAACAGTCATCAGTGGCTACATTTACATGAGCAACTGCAATTATTATGGGAGTGCACAGGTATAAAATCTGACACAGGGATACTAGACTGGGCTATTCAAAGTGGCTGTTGCCAGGGTTTTAGGCAGTAGGTCCATTGAGGTTCATTTTCCTCTGTGAAGGATGTGAAGAGGTGGACATATCCTCCTGAGTCAACAAATGTTTCCAAACATTTGGTTATTACAAGCACCATGAACTTAAAGAAGCACAATTGATGCTCCCATATTTAGCCACGCATTAATACGACTCTGAACTCAGCCTTAGATATAGCCATCGCTATAAAAGAAATGACTGTACCAGTGATATGGCTGTAACTATGACAGTTTACTGCTTCAATACAGGTTTAGAAATGTGTGTGTCTGTATGTGTGCATGCTTCCGTGCATGGTTGTGCAGTTTATGGAGGTGCAAAGGGGTCAGTCCAGCCCAGAGTCAGAGCTGGTTGTGCTGGAGAGAGATGGATGAGGGGGCAGAGCCACAGACTCTGATTTACATCTGCTGATTGAGCTCTCACTAGTATCCTGTCACACCCCTGTCACTGAACGCCACCTAGAAATCCCATCATTCATCATGCCTTGTCCTTGCACAAAGCCTCATTGGCCAAAGCACTGAGCATGATGGGATATGCAGTCCTCGACCAGTACAGTCAGATATGGCTTAAAAGGACGGAGAACATACTCGTACTCATTCAATTTGATTGCTCCTACATTTTCAGAAATGTGTATTTGTTTATGCATCATAACTGAGTCCTTGTCCTTGACTTTGTATTGCATACTAACTGGACTTTAAGATATCTTTTGACTTTTTTGACAACATGGTAGCGTCGTTGTGACTTGTCCTGGTTGTTTGTCAATCCCTGTAACTTTAGATCCTAGCTATGACGAACAAAACAATCACTTTGCTTTAAAGTCTTGTCTGAGTTTATACCTATTCTATATGATGCCGATTCATGATGAATAAAGTTGGTTTACCTCAACAGTCCCCTTATGAAACCACATTTAAATTCATTAGATCAGAATTTTTATTTGGATCTGCATCAAATTGAACATACACTTAAAATCAGTCACCTAAACATCCTGCTAATTAACAAACAAATGCAGCAGAAAACATTGGTTGAGGTAATAAATATTATTCAAACACAGCATTTGAATACCGATTTGGTCATAGTATTGCATGGTAACAGTCAAAACGCTTGGGTCAACCAAAGTACAGTCACAGTACAGATTTTTTATTTTTTTTTGGAAGGAAATGATCTTTTCTACATCAAGTCTACACATCTGTTATTCCTCATATGAATGAAATTACCAGGTTCGTCAGATAAGATTTTCACATTTGGAAGTATGAATTTATTCCCTACTCTGATTATACATATCCCACGTCAATAATAGACTGTTTCCTCTGTCTACTCTATATATTTTATGGGTTTTGCAGCTTAAATGGTGTGTGGACCAATTTTGCGTGTGTGCGTGCATGCATGTGCACATGTGCGTGCATTGCTCTTCGCCCCGTGCAGCTGTGTTAGTGCAGCTGATTTATCTGTGCTGAGACACAGGAGGAAAATTGGCATGAGCAGTTGCACATAAATCCCAACACTAGACCTCTGAAATATGGAGGCATTAAGGGAGCAACACAGATTTACACATTGCCACACTGTCACACTGATGCGCTCACACACTCACACACTTAGATACACAAATTTACATCCAGAGACACTGAAGACAGCAGTTTTCTACCAAACTACAACAGCTCCTATACTCTCAGTGCACATCATTATAATGTATGCCTTGAAAAAACATTGAGAATATTAACCAATGCATCCCCAAATTTAGAATTTGAATTATTCTTTATATCATCTGACCCATATTCAGTCGTTGTCGTGTGAGTATACATGTGTACTGTGTTTCACTCTTCTTACTAGTTGACCTCTGGGGCTTTATTAGAGGCTTTGACAAAGACTATCATCGTTTAGAGAGAGACGACACCCTTAAATCTCCCATGCTGCATTGCGGCCTCTTATGCAGAGAGGACGCTCTCTTAGGTATTAGGTGTGCTGATACACACACACACGACTCAGACCAAGACAAAGGCGACTGAGCGTTCACAGCCAATTTACAGGAAAATGGCAATAACATTTTATCATGGTGGACTTGGGCCTGATAGAGCTGCCCTTTCTTCAAGTGTGTGTGTGTGTGTGTGTGTGTGTGTGTGTGTGTGTGTGTGTGTGTGTGTGTGTGTGTGTCTCTCCTTACCTGCTCACACAGACAGACGCACAAACACACTCTCATACACAGTTCTGTTCGTGGAGCTAATTTGTTGATCTCAGATGGAAGCTTGGGCCGTCTCCAACAGAGCGTGACGTTCTCTTAGTGCAAGGAATGGCCATGCATGACAATTATGAGTGCACGCACACACTTGCTCTGAAACACACATACACACCCATTCTCTCTGCTTTTCTTTCTTTCCCTCTCTTTCAGGTTTTTCCCCTCCATCTTTATTTGCTTTACCTTATCATTTTGTCTCTTTTCTTTTAATCCTTTCATCTCTTACCTGCCTGATGTAATTTCTGCATGCAGCCAGCCAGCCAGTCGGTGATGGAGGGGGATGAGAAGCTGTAGCATAGAGGGGCAGTGGTGATTTTAATGATACACTTGAAGATAAAAGGACAGGAAGACGACGAGAGAAATAGACGACTGGCTCAGGGAGGGATATGAGGCTTTTACGGCTCACGGTTCACCTCGCACACCTGTGTACCTGCACTCATTCATGCATACAAACATATGGCCATTGATGCACACAAGTAGGAACACACATTTACTCCCTTATTTGTTTAGCGGGAGAACAACAGGCGAATCAAAGGGTATCGAACGATCCTTTGTGTCAAGACAGAAATAGGTTTGCCACAACACACATGAACACAGACACCTCCTCCTACTCTCACCATAGCTCAAACGAATTGTGAGCATATGCTCTGATGAAGATTAAAGTTGGGTGATAAATGTGCTTGTTGCCTCTTTAAATGGAATAGTAAATGCTTCTGTGTGTATATGTGCTCGTTAGCTCTTTAATGTAATAATAAATGGGGAACGGGTTGGGCTTCATCTCTCGTGGTACAGCCCAGGATGAGGAGCTAATGGCCATGAAAAGACAGTTAATATCAGAGCTGCAAATGAACTCCACCTGCTCGAGCTCCCAGCACATAAACGCTTAAATGCCCTCCCCTTTTATTTCCACTGCCACCACCATCTCTCTCACATTTTCTTAATCTGCAGTGGCATCACACAGCAACTCGTTTGTTTTAGTGTTCATGTCTGTGTGTGTGTTTACCCATGTCAATCCTGTTAAAGCGTGACATGTCCTCTTCTCCACGCAAATTACCGCAGGCGAAGAACACCACCACCGTGTCAGCTAATAACCACGACTGTGTGTATGTGTGTATGTGAGTGTGTGAGGGGAGCAGGAGGGGATCTTCATTGATTTATCGTTAACAGAGGACAACAGCTCCCCGTCAGCGTCTCTGGTCGCTATAACAAACGATCTGTGCGCTTGGACGCGCTTTATTGTAGCTCAGCCAGTAACCTTTTCAGCTGCTGACCCAGAACACTGGGAGGAGCGTAGAAATGTGGGGGGGGGGGGGGTTGTGTGCGATGTCAAACATATGTCCCCCAGAGTCCTCAGACAGGGAGGTGTCAGCATGGAAGACAAGGGGGAGGAGGAAGAGGAGAGGCAGGACACTGAGGGAGATGCTTAGAGACATAATCAAAAAAAAAAGCCATCATGAGTAAGGCTGCCATTAAAAAAGAACTATGAGTTAGAACACATGTTTACACACACACACACACACACACACACAGTGTCGCTAATGCCACATTATCAATAGATACATTTTTTTTAAATGAGGGTGTCTGAGGGGACACAAAAGAGACGAAGGGGAAAGGAAGAGGGAGACATGGCGAGAGTGTAAATGCAATTCCCATTCTTAATTAGTTGGTAGACAGCTAATAAAAACTGTGGTAGTAATAGCAGAATGAGAGCCAGGTGGAGGGAGGGGGGAGGCTGCTGGCCTTAAGGACCTATGATGGTTTAATAGTCATATAGAGAGCAGAATAGAGTTACAGGCCTGTAAGTAACAGTGAAGTGAGACAGCCAGGGCTTGATGTGGTCAGCTTAACACTGGCCTTTAAAATGTTAATATACAAAAGCTGCACTACACAGGCAGATTGAACTACTGACACAGACGCTGTTGTTGCACCCTCCCTGCTGTAATGCTTGGCACTTGGTTTGTCTGCCCCTTGCTTATTTCTGTCTGTCCTCTCTTTGCCTCTTAAAAAAAATCATTTCGCAGCCTGGAGATTTGTCTTCTTGCATATAGAAGTAGGTTGCTGTAAAATGGGGCAGCAAAAGTAAGAGCATGCTTGTGTATGTGACAGCGAGGTTTATGGCTCCCCTGTGCTGCTTAACCACTTCTCCTCCTCCACTTCTTTCTTTTCATGAAAAAGGGATGATGAAGGATAGATGTGCCGGTAAACATCAATACTGCATTAGCCGGCATTACAAAGCCTTCAGCCATTAACACTGAAGAATGGTCGCAGCCGGGAATAAGGTTCAATGGGGGTCACTACAATCACAGGGCGCCCCCACACCCATCTTTCTCCATGTTGAGAAAATGTATTCCATAATTGGCGTTCCAGTTCCTCCAGACTTCTTGCATAATTCCTCTTTCCTTTCTTACCTCTACCATGTCCTCACTTAGCCTAACAAGTAAAAAGGAGGTATAATAATCTGTTCATCAATTACATCTTTTCCCTTTTTTCTACCTCTTATAGACAAGAGTCAGTGATGTTACAGTGTGCATCTGCTCTGAAGTACCTCTGGATCTCCCAGATAACATTACCAAAGAAGATACTGATTTGTCGTCTTCCTGTTCTTGTCCCAGACTTGGTTTGGACCCAAAGCTGCTGGCAAAGATCCTCAACATGTCCTCAGGTCGTTGCTGGTCTAGCGACACATACAACCCAGTCCCTGGAGTCATGGATGGAGTCCCCTCTGCCAACAACTACCAGGGCGGCTTTGGAACCACACTAATGGCAAAGGTACAGGTCTTTGTGTCACACTTTCTTTTAAGAATCGTCTCAGACTCTTTGTTTCATTTACAGGTTAATTTTTGTATTTTTTGTTTAGTCTGTATTTGTTTGAAATGAATAAACAATACCCACAACATGCTTCCAGAGCCAAAAGTGATATCTTCACAATTCCAACAGTCCAAAACACAAATGTTCATTTCACCATTAAGATCAACTTAAACTTAACAGATCCACACATCTTTGCTTGATAAAGGATGATGAAATAATTACACCATTCCTCTATTAACTAATTAAACACTAACTAAGCGTTTCAGCTGCTAGTCTCTCTAATGTTCTTTTCTTTATTTAGTCTCTTTTTTTGTCAGTCTCTCAACTGTGTCATTGTCTCACTGTTCTATTGTCTCATTGTGACTCTATTCTCTCTCCTCGTCACCACTCCATCTGTGACTTATTGTGTGTAACTTGATTTTTACTGTCACTGCCTTAGCTCTCCTGTAATGGTTAGTGTGTCTATTATATGATGCATCTAGGTGTCTGTTAAATCACTTACAATGTTTGCTCTGCATACACAGACCATGCAGTTCTATCACATACAGTCAGCTCAAGAATATCTGAAAGAATCCACCTACTAATTCCACAAATGTCTGTCTGTATGTGGAACGCATATCTCGTGAACCAATCATCTTAAACTGGTTCACACTTGGCATGTGTATTGATAATAGCCATGGGAATTATTATAGTATTGTGCAAGTTGTAAACTCTAGTCTGAAGATTATCAATCGCTGAACACATCTCTGAAATAACCAACATGTAATTTATGAAAAAATAACAGCAGCTCAGTAAATAATTCTAACTTATATATAAGCCACACGTGTGAACAGTCATAAAGCCAATTCAGTTAATTGTATTGAAAACAGTGACTGTAAAATCTTCACTGCAGATAAACCAGGTAGGATCAGCACACATTTTTCTAACTTCACTCTGCACCATAGACTGTTTATATAAAGCTCTGCACACAACGTCCAGCACACAGACAATAAATAGTGACAGTATCTTGTAGTACTGAGGAGGACTCACAAATGACGATTTGGGAATAACTGGAATAATTCTGAAGTAGCTGAAGAGCATCAAGAGGCCAAGAAAACAGTCCATTCATAACAGACATGTTTAGAATGAACACTGCACTAGTTGGGATAAATATGTGAAGCTATTAGACAAAGAAAAATTGATTGTAACGTTAGTCTACCTATCTCATATTCTCCATCTTTCTTTTTCTGTTTCCAGGATCTGGGTTTGGCCCAAAACACTGCCACCAACACTAAGACGCCGGTCCCTCTGGGTTCCCTCGCCCACCAGATCTTCAGAGTCATGTGCTCCCGCGGTTATGCTAACAAGGACTTCTCATCTGTCTTCCAATTCCTACGTGAGGAGGAGGGACAGTGAATGTAGGGGGGAGCACAGTTAACTGTGATATTAGCATACACACACACAAACACACACTTCAACCACACACCCCAGTGCCCCTTATCCCACTATGCTCAGGAGAGACTAAGGCCTTGCCCTCAGGCAAAGATCAGCAATCCAATTAACATACTGTATGTTGACACGTGTCCCCTCATTGCATTAGCTGAATCATACTTTGAATTCATGGCTGTCCCTTTTGAATGTGGGGAAATAATAAAACTGACCTTAGATACGTATTTGGAGGCAAAGCCAGCTGACGAGAGGTAGGATGAGGCGCTGCAGACTAACACAAAACAATGCAGACATATGTGGTATTTTACGATGATCGAAGAGTAGTAATTGCATGAATGGTGAAGGTAAGTTTTTGTCAGGTTTGTGCTTTTTGCCTGTTACTCAAATGACCAGGATTTGTCCCCTGATATTTAAAAATCTAACAAAAACATGATACAATAAGGATTCACATAGTGATGGTGGGCTACATTCATGGAAATAAAATCCCACATTCACAGCACTACAAAACTGTGCGTACATGAGGGTTTACCTGTGTTGTTACATTTCTTTGTTTCTGGCAGGAGCTTGGAGACTTCCTGCCAGCAGATAAACTTGATAATTTCATTTATAAATCATCCAGTTATCATTTTTACTCAGTTACAGTATTTACAATTCTTGGTGTCCACAGTTTCAGTGGATCAGCCAGTTCTCTACTGCATTATAAGATAATACCTGGTTATTTTTGCACTGTGTGCATCACGGTGTGATGTGCTTGGCTATTTTGATACAGCTCTAGAATCTCTTTTAACTTACCTCTCTCCACTACTGTCTACATCTGCAATCCTCTGGAGCATTGTTATTGTTATTTTGCGACCAACACTGTTTAAACTTTATACTGTTTACTACACAATGTTCTCAATTTCCAGCACATTCTCTGACCCGTCAAGTCGATCCTCCTCGCATATGTATGACGTCTGTGTGAAGTGTCAGTGAGGAACGGTTCCTCCCTGCTATGAGCAAATGTACATAATGTATATTCATATTGTCGTGTAGTAATGAAGAGGAATCTAAAAGAACTGTCACTTTTTTAGTAAAATTCATTCGTTGTCTCTACAGTTTGTCTTTGCTCTGTGAAACAGATCCTCAGTCACTCTGTAGCCTAAAATAAAAGATGTTCTGTGGATTTGGTGTTTGACTGGTCTGTAAGTACAGTGTGTTGCTGAAGTTAACATAGCTCATGAAGTTACCTCTCAGTGTTGGATGTTTAATGACTTAGGTGCACACTGGGAAAGTAGAGCTTACTAATTACATGTCAGTGATTAGTTAGGGCTCAATAGTCATCTTACCTGACAATAGTATTTGTCCAAAGTACAAAAGCTATATCAACAAATCAAAACGGCTGATGTGGCCATGTTTAAGTATCCAATCATATACTGTATATAGCCATGGACGACGCATCTTTACATCCTCCCACTATCCAGAAACAAAGCCAAAATATTCCATGTTTTGACGAGCAGTCATATTGTCCATCTGTATATAGCGTACGTACCAACTTTGTATGTCACTCCCTACTGAAACATGGCTGGCTGCACATAAGGTGCTTTGAACTAAATGCTATCAGCTCGCTAATATGGTCACAATGACAATGCTAATATGCTGATTCTCAGCATTTTATTCATGGAATGACAAGACCGTTGCAGGTTTTTGGTCATAAACCCATTTTGCAAATTTAACGGTATAAAAAGTCAGGATATCATCAAGTGATTCCAAGTCATCCTGAGGGCAATATGACAGCACCAGATTTCAAAGCATTCCAATTTCCAATGTTCCTGGACTAATGTGTGTAGCGAAGTCAACATTTGTCTTCTACTCTCAGCTCATTATTTGAGGGTAACCCCTTGTTGATTGCTCTTCCTTTAGGGCATCTATACACCTGAAGGTCCAGAACATGGTCAGAACTAAATTTCACATCTTTGTTACATTGCAAACATTTGTTTCAGTTAGTTTTGGTCTCATAATGGATAAAACACTTTTGTATGACATACTTTTGCCCTGTGACCATCATTTACATGGGCTGTGTCCAACTACACTTGAGATTGATTCGTTTGTAGACAGGCATGCGTCCAACGTTGGCATGTTGTCAATTCTGCCATTGTATTCGCTAATTTGTTTCATTAAAGTCCAAAAAATACAAAGTTTCTATTGTAATGGAGAAAATGACTGAACCGCTTCACTTTGTTAATTGCCACTTTTATACTACAAGCAAAATGAATGTCCTGGTGTTATAATGTTGGAGAGAAAAAATGCAAGCAATCCAGGAAGGCGCGTCCACTTCTTTTTCTTATTCTTCTATTCCTTAATGCTGTCTCAACTTCCTGCCATTGGTCCGAAAATGTGAACTATCTAAAAAAAAGGTGTTTACATTGCAAATAAACCAAAATATGGTTCAGTTTCATCCGAACCAAGACCACCTTCTTCTGGTCAGACGAATTTGGTCCCTTTATCAGAACAGTTGTCTGAGGCACCTTTCATGCCTTATACTTTGGTTTGGACAAAACTGAAAAGTTGATGGTCCACATTAAAACAAGGTGTACCGAGTTTCATTTGTGAAGTTTGTCCTCATTTGAATCAGAGGCCTTGGGGTGGACACTGTCATATGGTGTAGAACAGGACATTCAAATAAAAAAAACTTTTCAGAACTGTCTCTACAAGCAGTCAGCTTGTACACACCATGGTCTTGTTCCATGTTTCATGAGGCTGTTGCTGCAGCTTGACGTTTGCAGACCAGCCTATGCTCCGACCTTTCTGCTCTTTGGTGGGTTGTTGTTCCATTGTTCCTCCAAAGCGCTTCAGCAGGCACTCGTAACATTTAACGTCAGTCAGGGAGAAATAGCAGCACTAATCTCAGAATGATGCCCTTATTTCCATCATTACAATGAAATGAGAGGGGGGAAAAACAAATGTGGTTTTGTTTTATTTTACTCTCTTTTTTTCCTGAGGGCTGGTGTTTCTTTGCGACATTTTATAGAGCTGCTGTCGTCTAAGTGGCAGCCGCAGTTGTAGCAGACTGCGGCGAGCCACTGGTGGCAGGAGTCGTGTCGCGGGCTTGTGACTCACTCTGTTGTTGTTCTTTGGGGATGTTGTGCACTTGCCTCGCTTTGAAGATTATCTCCATGTGATTATAAAAGAGGGGAAGTACTTACAGGCTCAGTATCTCATTAGGAATCTTATTAAGAAGCCATTGTTAGCATACACAGCATAACTTTTGATAATGAGCCTTTGATGTTGCAGGATTTAAAATCTTTGTGCCGCCAACACCTTCTTGGCCTTCGCAGACAATAGACCCTGGTCCTTCCGATGTCTCCCCATAGACGAGCTACGCCTTCGGCCTGGCTTGGAGAATTAGGCTACGTAGCTGATTCATATTTGGGTGTTTTAATTTGACTGTGTTTTATAGCAAGCTGCTGAGCCGGCGGTTTGCTCATTAAAAGGACACATGAAAGCAGGCTGTAAAGGAGCCGTGGTGAGACCGGCCTGTGCTGACGTCTGAGCGGGGACGCGATCGGCTGAGGAAGCGACCGAGTCCCAAGCCAGCCGGTCTGAGCCGGAGGGCCTCACCCATACAGCCAGGCAGCCAGTGGCGGGACACCAGACGCACCACAGCGAATGTGTCCACACCAGGATGCTACTCCAGTCTGATGTGTCAGCAGGAGTTCACTGTTTGATGCTCGACTTGTGTTTGTCTCTGAGATTTAAAGGAGCTGAAAGTTTAGAAAATGTTCAGTCCACTCTCCCAATCATAGATACATTAACCTAAGCTCAATTGTCTTGAAAATTAATTTATGTACATTATGCACAGCTGAACAAGTTTTGTATCTTTGCTGTTAGGGCTGTGCTCTCAGACTTTGAAGTTAATTGCCCACCCCCTTGCTGCCATTTAGAAAATAAAACGGCCTCAGCTCAGAGACTTGCTGCTGTGATAAATACCTGAGGCAATGGCGTTCATTATTTCTCCATTATATCTGCTGGTGGATCCTCAGCTGTTTAACGACTCGCTCTTTAAGGAAGTAAGAGCAGTGGGGTCATGCTACACGCAGGAAGGAGGGTAGGGAAGAGGAGGAGGCGGCTCCTGCGAGCACCCTGTGATTCATATCAAACGCATGTTAAGTGGCATGTGGCTAAATTAGTGGCTGGAATCTTGCAGGTATAATAGCTTGCTCCGCAGTGCGTAACGAGCCACCGTCTCACTGTTCAGTAACTCGGCCTTGATATAATTTTTTTTACATGAACCCACCAATAACTGTCGGGTCATTCCGCCCTATATAGCCCCGAATCCACACCCACAGTGTCTGCACACCAGCACAACACCCACATGCACAAGTCTTCTTCCTGTTTTGTCGACAACATTCTGCCATTCTGAGTCATTGACTCCGCTCAGGTTCATTAGTGAAGATAATTCCATTGCAGACAGCGGGTCAGCATATAACATGTCACGATGACAGCGAGGCACATAACAGCAGCTAATTATAACTATGAAGTCCTCATTACAATATCTTTGGGGGGGAGTGTAGTCAGTTGTTGTGAAACATGGCCTCTCTACCTGGTTAAAAGGTTGCATCTCAACAATGTATGAACGTTTTGGGGGGGGGGGTATACCCCCAAAAATCTGTCCCTGCTTGTCTTGTGTTGCTTTCTGGTTCTCACCCACCTCTAACCGTCTTCTGTTCTCTTCTGTGTCTTGGCTTCAGGCAGGACATGTGGTGTTCAGGAGGATGTGAATAGTTTAATTGATTTTTTCCCCTGATTTCGAAGATTAACACACTCTTCTATTCTCCAACATTATATTCATTCATCCATACTTTCCTTTCCATTCTTACTCTGGCTCTCTGTTTATACCCTCACACCTCTGTCTCCATGTTACCCCCCACGCACCCTGTGTCACCTGTGAGTAACAACAACACGTGCACTGTATTCATCAAACGCTGCTGCACATGCTCAGTAGCTCCTCATTATATTAATTATTCTCATTGGAAGAGTGATCATCCGACCCGTCAGAATCCATCACTGCCCGGATCCCACAGAGACATGGGCCCAGTAAATAATCACCGGTATCTGTAACCGGGCTCTGGCCCCACCGATCCCACTAGACCCACCAGGGTGGGCCCTAAATACTCCAGGGGGTGCAGCTCCTGCAAAGCCACATTTATCTCTGCCAGCAGCTGGGGGGAAGTACTGTGGCTGTAAGGCCTGATCCAGAGGCTCCTGGTGCTGGTTCAGATCTGTAGAAAGCAGGCTCAGTAGTGAGAAGGGAATAGTAGTAGTAATAGTTCTTTCTGTTGAATAACAAGGACTGAAAAGGTATATTAGGATGTGGGGAATAAACTATGTGGGGTCTAGTTTGAAACTAATTTAGAAACTGTTACAAATCAACCAATGGATTACAAGGGAGACAGTAGGGTTCAAGTTCACATCCAGATGTGCAGTGTGGTTCATCACTCTGTTAACTCAGTCTGCATGTCAGGTGAAAACAATGTAACTGAAGCTAACATGGTGGTTTGCATTGCTGCCTCACAGAAAGAGAGTTCCTGGTTCAAATCCCGGGTCAGCTGGGGTCTTTCTGGAGTTTGCATGTTCTCCCTCTGACCCTGTCGCTTCACTCTGGCTTCCCCTGAAAGAGCTTGGATAAAGGTTAATTGGAGATTTGAAATTGACTGTAGATGTGAGTGTGAATGTTTGCTTGGTTCTGTGTGTTGGCCCTATGACAGGCCGCTGACCTGTCCAGTGTGTACCCTGCCTCTCGCCCAATGTCAGCTGGAATTGGCTCCAGCCCCTTGTGACCCTCAAAGGATAAGTGATATAGATGATATAGATTTTCTCTCCTGATATAGATCCAGAAAATTTGCAGACAGAGTACTGATCCCAATCCTCCCCATTTACAATCAGTATATTGCACTGCATTGAAGCAGTTTTTGTATGAGACCATGGATGACTAGACCACTAAAAACTGAGCTCGCAGCCAACCATGAATAAATGTAAATAATAGCAGAAGTACAGTATAGCATAATGATTCAAACATGTTGGATAAAACATTTGTGGATGTTGGCAGACTTTAATAGTTTGTTCTTCATCAGCAATTACTGTATTGTCTGCAAAGAGAAGTAAAACTATTGATGTTTTTACCTG